TGCCAGAATAGGAATCAAACTGCTGCCTTTATTGTTATTCCGAAACACATGCTAGTCATCCAACCAACAGGGCTATAAACTCTCTTATAATATCCGAACATTGGATTTAATTTTTGAGAAGTTAATTTACTGTAAACTGGATTAACTCCGTCCTAGTGAAGTATCACTCCTATCTTAAGTTTAAGATTTCTTACACAACTGACTGTCCCATCTTGATGGCCTGATATTTTCTTTCCTGTCATGAGGTCTAGAGGCTTCTTTCCAGTTATGACAACTGGACTTATTTTCAGTTATCAAAACCAGGAAATTTCTTCCAATAAAATCCTCACAGTCTGGAGATTTTCACAAAACTAACTACCCTTTTGATATGAAACGGTCAACAGAAACCTGAATTTGGCCTGTCACCATCTGTTTGTCTGTAGTTGTAAATGTTCCACTTTGTAACGTTTCATCAATTACTGTCTTAGTTTATCTAGTCATTTATCTAAAATCATGTGCTTTTGTGGGAATAATGTTTAAACTCACTGTTCAAAAATGAATATCTGATCTCTCCATTTAAAAAAAATTACGTTCACAGCATTAAAATCAAAATCGCATTTACCTACATTTTAAAATTCAAATTCTCAAATGATAATATATTATAAACCTTTATCACAGTATTCCTTTCTAGCATTACTCTATGTTTACCATACCTCTAACAAGTTTGTTTAAACCTTGCTAGGAGCACCAGCAAATTGGATTAAGTACAACCCTTCTACCCAGAACAGGCTCCATTTCCCCCAGGACTGATTTAGCTGCCTAATTCTCTTTTTTCCTATGCTTACGTGTGTGTGGTCCCAGGACTAAATAGGATATTGCTACTTTTGAAGTGCCACTTGTTAATTTCCTACCTAGCTCCGTAAATTCTTAATGACGGATCACATTCCTCTTCCTACCTATGTCTTTGGTGCCAACATGGACCATGACCATTAGCTGTTTGCTCTTGTCCTCAGGAAAATATACAACTGTTCAGTGACTTCTTTGACCCTGGAACCAAAGAGGCAACACACCATTCTGGATTCATGCCTGTGGCTGCATGAACACCTATCTTTTCTTCTAGCCACTGAACCTCCGATTACAATTTTTCTTCCAGACTTAGGGCTTCCTACTCCATACAACTGAGCCAGCTCTGGAGCCATGGTCTTGGCTTTGGCTGCATGCTGCAGATGAAGCATCACTTTTGTCAATATTCAGAACTTAATACAGATTAGGGAGTGTGATGCACTTAGGGAAAAGACTCTTGTAGTACTTGCCTGTTTCTTTTTCACTGCATGGTGGTCACTGTTTTCTCTCTCTGTACATGCATACCTTTAAGTTGTGGAATAACCACATCTAGGACTATGCTATCCATGAAGCTTTTGAACATGCAGATGTGCTGCAGCTCAAGCTCTGAAATCCAAAGTTTGAATTGCTGCAGCTAATGAACCTTCCTGTATGTATGTTTATCCAGGACATGGGAAGCATTCTGGAGTTCCCACATAGAACAGGATGGGCAATCCAACATCTCAGTGATCCTGCTATTCTTCTATCTATTAGGTAATAAAGCTTACTACTTTTAAACAAAAAATTATGACTTGCCAACTATTCACATCTCTCTGCTAACACCACTTAAATACTGCGATGACCCTCAGAATGTACTTTCTTTTTGTGTCCCTTTAAGATCAATATACACTTGGGAGGATTTTGAAGTGGGTTTGTTTGTTTCCTTGTTGACATTGACAGGTTCCATGAAATGACCATGTGCCATTGGGATAAATAGTTATGAAGCAAAATGTGAAAGTAAAACAAAGCACAATAGTGTTTTTCAGTCTGTGTTTTCTGTTTGACAGTTTATATTACACAGAAATTCAGCTGAGAGAAGATGAACGAGGTTCTCTCTACATAAAACAATTTCTGGTTGGCAGATTTGGAATGGATTCAGGAGTTGAAGCAGGTCTCTGAAATAAAACAGAGACTACTGTATGTTTTTATGTGTGTTTTACAGTTGCAAAGAACAGAGCTGAAGACGGGGAGGGTAAGGGATTGTCATAGAGTCAAACAGCATGGAAGTAGAAATTTCTGAAGAAGGGTCTAGGCCCAAAACGTCAGCTTTCCTGCTCCTCTGATGCTGCTTGGCCTGCTGTGTTCATCCAGCTCTACACCTTGTTATCTCAGATTCTCCAGCATCTGCAGTTCCTACTATCTCTAAATTAGTCCCATCTGCCTGCACTTGGCCCATATCGCTCCAAACATTTCTTATTCATGTACTTATCTAAATGTTTTTAAACGTTGTAACTCTACCTGCATCCACGACTTGCTCTGGAAGTTCATTCCACACATGAACCACTCTTTGGTGTGTTTTTAAAAAAAATGCCCTTCATGTCTTTTTTTAAATCTTTCTCCTCTCACCTTAAAAATATGCCCCCTTGTTTTGAAATTCTCCATTCTAGCGAAAAGACACCTGCCATTCACTATATCCATACCCCTCATTATTTTGTAAAGCTCTATAAGTTCACCCCTCAACCTCCTACGTTCCAGTAAAAAATGTCCCAGCCTATCCAGCCTCTCCTTATAACACAAACCCTCCATTCCTGGTAAATCTCTTCTGAACGCCCTCCAGCTTAATAATATCCTTCCTATAACTGGGTGACCAGAACTGGACACTACTGCAGAAGAGGCCTCACCAACATCCTGTACAATCTCAACAAAGCGTCCCAACTCCAATACTGAAGGTCCGAGCAATGGAGGCAAGTGTGCTAAACACCTTCTTAACCTCTTAGAAAATGAGAGATTGTACAGAACACAGGTTAAATTGGGAAGACTGTGAGATTGATCACGGATTGTCGATTGTACAAGACTCATTGGTGCTGCTTCAATGTTGTCAAGGTCCATCATACAATTTTAATGGGTAGGAGGAGGGAATCTCTGTGAATTCTGTGACATAAGAACTTTGTGACTTTAGTGAGAGCGGGTTCATAGATGTGCACATTATTAGTGGTAACTGTGTCTCAGGATCTGAAATGAAATGTTGCCTCTGGTCAGTGGGGCTTGAGGCCAAAATAATTTGTTAGGAAGTAAGAGACTGTACAGGTAGAGGTTAAATTGGAAAGACTGTGGGATTGATCATGGTGCCATATTTGTGAGGGATGTAATGTGAGTACATGTAATTATATGAGACTTAGCTATATTGACTACTTGTATGAAATTTACTGCTTTATTGGAAACATTCTTCCCCTGTTAACTGATCTGAGATTATTTTGTTTTTAGTTGCTTTCTTACAGTAAAAGTTCTAAAAAGTGAAATTTTGTGGAGTAGTTTTCTTCCTGCTGTTATAGCAAAATAGTATTGCGAGTACATCATTCAGCTGCTCCACCATTCAAGTCATGGCTGATCATCTACCTCCACGTCATAATCCCATGCTCTCCATATATCTCCAGAGGTCATTAGAAAACTGTAAATCTCTGCCTTGAACTTAATTAATGACTGAGCTTCCACAACTCTCTGGGCTGATGAATTCCAAAGATTCATGACCCCCTGAGTGAAGAAGTTGCTCCTCATTGCAGTCTTTAATTGGTTTATCTTTTATTCTGTGTCCCTTGACTCTAAACCCCAAATACAAGGGAAACATTTTCTCTGTGCCTACTCTGTCTATCCCTTTAAGAATTTTGTAAGTTTCTGAGAGATAACTTCTCTAAACACCAGAGAATATAAGCCCCGGTCTCTTCAACCTCTCTTCATTGGACAGTCCTACCAACTTTTGCTGTTTTCTTCTATGGCAAGAAAATCCTTCCTTAGGCAAGAGGACCAGAAATGCACACGACATACATGTTCTATGCAACTAGGCAAGACATCCGCTCCTATACTGAAATCCTAACTAATTGTCAACATTACGTATCATAGGAGTCCCTTTAATTTTTAAAAGTTGGCAGCCTCTATGGGCATGAAACAACATAGAGAGGTTTTTTCTTCAGTTCTCCACATTGCCACAACCTCCACCATAGATACTGCAGATGTCAAATCCACCCCAGATTGAATTTCAAGGTCACCAACCACCTGAGCTTTTCATGGAAAACAGAGTAATGGTGATTTGAAAAGCAGAATACTGCAGAAGCTTAAAGAATGTTGGAAATATTCAACAGGTCAGGTAGAATCTATGTAGAAAGAAAGCACAGCAAACATTTCAGCCTGTTGCCCTTTCATGAAAAAGGTTTTCCCTGTGGGTATTGAAAATGTAGTCCATTGAAACAACAGGATATTGTCCGATATACTTGTTCTTGTGATCATGATCATTTCAATAGTAATACAGCTTTCTCCATAGGATGGCACTACCATCTCTAAATGCTGCAGCCAGAATTTTTCCTTCTGGGATGCAGGTTGAGGTAGGACAGCAAACAAAACGACAATCCCACCACCTTTTCCATGTTTACCACATTTATGGTTTACCACATTAAGTAACATGAGCGGAAAACGTTTTCACAATTAAAGAGGTTAGGGTCTGGAATGTACTGCCTGACAATGTGGTGGAGGCAAATTTAACCATGGTATTCAAAAGGGAACTGCATTATTATCTGAAAATGAAAGATGTGCAGAGCTAGAGGGAAAAGATGGGGGAGTGGCACTACATGAAATGCTCCTACAGAGAGCCAGCACTGACAGTTTGGGTTGAATGTCCTCCATCTGTGTTATAACCATTTTAAAATTCTAGTTTGTTCAATATTTTATTGAATGGTAACATCAGAGAGCAATGAGCTTTGATGGTCCAAATGACTTTTCCAATGTTCCGCTTTCTTTATATGATTTTAATAGACTCTTGCACTAGCATTCTCTGACTACATGTCTCTTGCTTGGTGAACTGGAAAGGAACAGAAAAGGAAACTTTAACAAAAAATTCCTGGAAAAGCCAGATATTTTGGCACACATCAGTGGTGGCTTGGCCAATTCTTTAATTCAATCAGTGGAAGCAATAATTCCTATTTTACTGTCACACTCTGCAGGTTCATCCAAGCGGAAGCTATTTTGCTGTAGGTGAGAAGGGAAACATGCCCAACATTATAGTCTACGAATATCCTTCGCTGAAGCCATACAGAATCATGCGAGGTGAGTGTCATCTTGTGAGGCTAATGCCGACCGTTTGTTTGTCCCCAAGTGTTATGACTGTACCTTCAGCGGCCAGGCCTACAGCTGCCTTATTTCTAAGCTCCTGAACTCCCTCCAATAACTCTTTGTAAGTTTGGGGACAAATTTTGTCAGATACCAGCCCTGTGAAGTACCTTGGGATATATTGCTTGGCAAAAAGTGTCTTTTAACATAAAATTTTATGTTTGTTCTTGGTCAAAGCACAAGTGCTTGGGGTGGGGTGCGGGGGCGAAGGAATAGGAAAGAAGCATCTCAAGTTCACTATTTCCCAAACAAGAACCCCAGATATGACCTTCAGCCTCTGGTGGCCTGGCCCCCACTTTATCTCACTTTGCAGCCCTGTCACTGTAGCTAACCTTGCTACTATCACTGTGTTTCACCGTGTATCCTTTCACTGTGGGGCTTGATAGGGTAAATACTCATGGGACAGTCTACAATCAGAGGGCGTAGTCTCAGAATAAAGGAGTGCCAATATTATTCTTGAATAATACGTCCTAGCTTTAGGCTACCCTAGAACAGGAAACATCCTTTGGTATCCACTCTATCCAGACTTCACAAGGCTTTAAATGTTTCCATAATACATCATCTGAAAACTTGTATTTGAGATCATAATTTCACTGGTAATGCAGCTTCCTGCACAGGATGGTGCTGTCACCTCTAACCTACGGCTGGATTTTACTCATCTGGATTGGGAATGGCATGGAAAACTACTCTCTGTCTTTGTGCACAGTGAGGAAAATGGTGCTGTTATTAAACTACAGTGGCACCTCTAGAACCATTAAACTTGTTGAGACCACGTTGAAGGACTCAACTTCAGAGGCCACACAATCTTCCAGGAGTGGCTGGGAATCTGGAGACCTCAGCGTTCACATACAGCTGAGTGGAAGCATGAACAGAGGTGGCTCAACAGTGAAGGACAGTCTTTGAATCTTGATTTGACTTGTTTGGACTGGTCGAGGGGCCAAATGGCCTACTCCTATTCAGTTAAACAGGGGGAGGTGATATTGTGTAATATAGTGATATTACTGCTGGACTATTAATCCAGAGGTGCAGATTATGTTCTGGGGACCCGGGTTCGAATCCCGCCACAGTAGGTGGTGGAATTTGAATTCAACAAATATCTGGAATTAAGAATCTACAAATCCACAAAGATCACAAATCTACAAAGAATCTACAAATCCATTGCTGATTGTCAGGAAAAACCCATCTGGTTCACTAATGTCTTTAAGGGGAGGAAAGTTCCATCCTTAACTGGACTGGCCTACATGTGACTCCAGACCCACAGCAATGTGGTTGACTCTTATCTGTTCTCTGGGCAATTAGGGATGGGCAATAAATGTTGCCCGCCCAGCAATGCCCTCATCCCGTGAATGAATAAAGAAAAAAAATGAAATAATACCTCATCTAAAACCTTGTACTTGATCATGTTGATTTCAATGGTGATGCAGCTTCCTCCATAGGATGGTGCTGTCACCTCTAAATAGTGGCTGGAATTAGTCCCTCTGAATTGGGGATGCAATGACGACGGCATGGAAAACCGTCCTCTGTCTTTGTGCACAGTGTGGAAAATGATGCTATTAGTAAACCAAAGTAGAGCCATCCATTAAATTGGTTGAGACTATGTTGAAGGGCTGCACAGCAGCTCAGTGGTTAGCTCTGCTGCCCCACAGCACCAGGGACCCGGGTTCGAGTCCACCCTTGGGCAACTGCCTTGTGTGGAGTTTGAACGCTCTCCCCATGTGTGCATGGGTTTCTACCAGGTGCTCCGATTTCCTCCCACAGTCCAAATTGGCCAGCTTAAATTGCCCATAGTGTCCAGGGATGTAAGTTAGGTGCATTAGGCATGTGAAATGCAGGTTTACAGGGATAGAGTATGGGGATGGTTCTGGGTGGAATGTTCTTCAGAGGGTTGATGTGGACTTGTTTGGCCAAATGGCCTGTTTCCATGCTGTAAGGATTCTAAGTATTGATTCTAAGACTCAACATCAGAGGCTACACGATTTTCCAGGAGTGGCCAGGATCAAGTGCCCTCAGCATTCACATACAGCTGAGTGGAAGCATGAGGTGGCTCAATAATGAGGGAAAGTCTTTGAAACTTGATTTGAATTGTTTGAATTGGTCGAGAGGTCTCCCACTGCTTGTCTTCAAAAGTTGGAGGAGCTTACTATGGGAGAATATAGAAGAAGGGTGAGATCCCTGCTGCCTCAGGGGCTTGAAGCCAATGGCTGGGAATCAGATTATTGTTTATTACCTGGGCACAGGGAAGAGTGAGTCTGGAAATGGCATTTGCTGTTGGCCACATAGGCATCACCATGGCGACAAACACCATGATGAAAGATTCCCAGGCAGCAGAAGTACAAAGCCATAAAGGAGAAACTACCAAGAGTGCAGAATTAACCCAAACGTAGAGTCATAGAGATTTTCAGCATGGAAATAGACCCTTCGGTGCAACCCGTCCTTGTTGACCAGATATCCTAAATAAATCTAGTCCCGTTTGCCAGCATTTGGCCCATATCCCTCCAAACCCTTCCTATTCATATACCCATCCAGATGCCTTTTAAATGTTGCAATTATACCAGCCTCCACCACTTCCTCTGGCAGCTTATTCCATACACACACCACCCTCTGTGAGAAAAAGTTGCCCCTTGAGTCCCTTTTAAATCTTTCCCCTCTCACCATAAACCTATACCCTCTAGTTTTTGACTGCCCTACCCCAGGGAAAAGACCTTGTCTGTTTAACCTATCCATGCCCCTCATGATTTTATAAACCTCCATAAGTTCACCACTCAGCTTCTAACGCTCCAGGGAAAATACTCCATGCCTATTCAGCCTCTCCCTATGCTCAAATCCTCCCTGGCAACATCTTGGTAAATCTTTTCTGAACTCTTTCTAGCTTTGCAACATCCTTCCTATAGCAGGGAGACTAGAATTGCATGCAGTATTCTGAAAGTGGCCTAACCAATGCCCTGTACAGCCACAACATGACCTCCCAACTCTTCTCCTCATCTGACTGACCAATAAAAGCAAGCATACCAAATGCCTTCTTCACTATCCTATCTACCTGCGATTCACTTTCAAGGAACTATGAACCTGTACTCCAAGGTCTCTTTGTTCAGCAGCATTCCCCAGGACCTTACAATTAAGTGTATAAGTCCTGCCCTGATTTGCCTTTCCAAGATGCAGCACCTCGCGTTTATCTAAATTTGAATTCAACCTGCCACTCCTTGGCCCATTGGCCCATCTGACCAAGGTCCTGTTGTACTCTGAGAAAACCTTCTCCGCTGTCCACTACATCTCCAATTTTAGTGTCATCTGCAAACTTACTAACCACACTTCCTATATTCACATCCTAATCATTTATATAAATGATGAAAGCAGTGGACCCAGCACTGATCCTTGTGGCACACCTCTGATCATGGGTCTCCAGTCCGAAAAGCAACTCTCTACCACCACCCTCTGTCTTCTACCTTTGAGCCAATTCTGCATCCAAGTGGCTAAGTTCTCCGTATATTTCATGTGATCATGTGGGGGAGGCGATGTCCTAGAGGTATTATCACTGGACTGTTAATCCAGAGACCCAGATAATGTTCTGGGGACCTGGGTTCAAATTGAATTCAATAAATATCAGGAATTTAGAATCTAATGATGACCATGAATCTGTTGTCAATTGTCAGGAAAAACCCATCTGGTTCAGTAATGTTCTTTCGGGAAGGAAACTGCCATCTTTACCTGACCTGGCCTAAGTGTGACTGCAATGTGGTTGACTCTTAACTGCCCTCTGGACAATTCGGGATGGGCAATAAATGCTGCCTAGCCAGTGATGCCCTCATCCTGTGAATGAATAAAGAAAAGAAAACTAGCCTTGCTAACCAGTTTACCCTGAGGAACCTTGTTGAACACTTCACTGAAGTCTCTACTATTATGTGCACTGCTCTGCCCTCATCAATCCTCTTTGTTACTTCTTCAAAAAATTCAGTTAATTTAGTGAGACATGATTTCCCACTCACAAAACCATGCTGACTATCCCTAATCAGTCCTTACCTTTCCAAATACATGTAAATCCTGTCCCTCAGGATTCCCTCCAAAAACATGCCCACCACCAAATTTGGCATGTCCATAAGTTCCCTCCCAAATTCTGCAGATGCACCATTGCACGAATACTGTCTGGGTGGATATGGCCTGGTAGGGCAACTGCTTTGCCCAGGACCGTAACAAACTACAGAAGGTGGTGTACACAGCTCAGACCATCTCAGAAGCCAACTTTCCATCCATGGACTCTATTTACACGGCTTGCTGGCCAACATCATCAAAGACCCATTGCACCCTGGCCAGCTCTTCCATCAGGCAGAAGATACAGAAGCCTGAACACACGTACCAGCAGGTTCAGGAACAGCTCCTTCTGGTCCATTATCAGACTGTTGAATGGACTCTAACCTGAAATTATGTAACCTGCAATGTAACCTGTATGCCTCTAAGTCTTTTTGATCTGCACATCCTTTGCTTGCTGTGATCTGCCTGTAGTGCTTTAAATAAAGCTTTTCACTGTATTTTCATGCACATGACACTAAAAATCAGTCAGTCAATCAATCAAAAAAACCCACCAATGTCAGGCTCACTGGTGTATAATTCCATTCTCCCTGTGTCTGCGTGGGTTTCCTCCGCATGCTCTGGTTTCCTCCCACAGTCCAAAGATGTGCAGGGTAGGTAGACTGGCATTTCCTTACCACCTTTCTTAAATAGTGGCACCACGTTAGCCAACCTCCAGTCTTCCGGCACTGCGCCAAATATCTCCGCAAGGGGCCCAGCAATTATGGTTGAGAAGCTTCTGGTAGAACCCACTAGGGATTCTGGATTTGGGAAGGCTTTGGAGATCTGAAGCACAAAGGAACTTGGGAGTCACAGTTCAGGATTCTCTTAAAGTTAACATGCAGGTTCTGTGGGCAGTTAAGAAGGCTAATGCAATGTTAGCATTCATTTTGAGAGAGTAGAATACAAGAGCAGGAATGTATTGCTGAGGCTGTATAAAACTCTGGTCAAAACATGTTTGGAATGTTGTGAGCAGTTTTGGGCTCCGTATCTAAGGAGGGATGTGCTGCCTTGGAGTAAGTCCAGAAATTGTTTACAAAAATGACCTTGGGAATGAAGGGGTTGTCATGCGAAGAGTGGTTGAGTACCTTAGGTCTGTACTTGATGGACTATAGAAGGATGACAAGGATGATGGAATATAGAGAAGATCTCATTGAACATTACAGAATACTGACAGACCTGGACAGAGTGGATGTGGAGATGATGTTTCCGCTAGTAGGAGAGACTAGGACCTGAGGGCACAGTCTTGGAGTGAAGGGACGACCCTTTAGAACTGAGATGAGGAATAATTTCTTCAGCTTGAGGCTGGTGAATGTGTGGAACTCATTGTCACAGAGGGCTGTGGAGGCCAAGTCATTAAGTATATTTAAGACAGATATAAATATGTTCTTGATTAGTCAAGAGATCATGGGTTATGGGGAGAAGGCAGGAGAATGAGTTTAAGAAATATATCAATCACAATCGAATGGCAAAGCATCTTGATGGGCCAAGTGGCCTAATTCTGCTCCTATATCTTATGGTCAGTCCTGCCACATCCATTTGTGAATGGTGGTGGTCAATTAAACAACTAACAGGAGGAGGAGGAAGCAGTGTGGATAGTTCAATTTTCAATGATGTGGAAGCACAGCACATCAATGTAAATGACAAGAGTGTCTGACGATTTTCTGCCGGAAGCACTGAATAGATCATCATTTTCAGATTTCTCCTGAGGTCCCCACTTCTACAGAGTGCAGCTAGAAATCTGGAATCTACCTGACAATGTGGAAAATTGCCCAGTTATGTCCTGTCCACAAAAAACAGGACTAATGACCATTACTTCCCCGACAGTCTATTCTGAATCATCAAAAAAGTGATGGGAGGTGTGATCAATAATGTTGTTAAGTATGAATCCGGAGAAAACAGTGTGGGAGAAGGAACAGAAGTCATTGCAGACGAATCTCAACCTATAAGTGCATGGGTAAGAATGGAGCCAGCAAGGGCAGTCCCATCTGGCTGAATGATGGAGGAGACTTGGCCTGCTGGAGGAGGATGGTGAGGTCAACTATGCCAAAAATCAAGAAGGATGAACAGGTATTTTTTTTCCTGCAGTCGCTGTTATATAGGTTGTGATTTGTGATTTTGATAAGTGATTTCAATCTTGAGTGATGTTGTGACAAACTGATTAAGAGAATCAAACATGGGATTGTAGGATAGGTGGACGTGGGAAGAGATGCATGTTCAATATTTTTGGAGTGAAAAGGGTGATTGGAAATGGAGTAGCTTTCAAGAGCTGGGATTCAAATCATAAACTTTTTTAGCAAAACATTTTCGAAGAAATTTACATACGGGTCAACCAATTGCAGGCAACTTGTTTGCTCAGAACAAATTATGATACAGGAAATTACAGTGAGGAAATTAAAACACAGTTTGTAATTTAATAGTGCAGCTCCTACAGTGCTATCTAAGATAGGCAAGATGCCATACTATTTATAAGGACAGGTATTCATACCCTAAATTTCATAGCATCATATTCTGGTTGGATCTGGGTTGGCCTAAGTAAGCAGATCATTTAAAGTTTAATTATCTGTTCAGGATGCTCTGAAAATAATAACGTTTGCCAGCTTTGGCTCAAGATCCAAAGGCGATCAATAATATGTAATATTTATTTCTTAGAATTGATTAGCATCTGATGAAGTGCGTATCTCCAGTGAGAGAGAGAGTTAGTTTTTGCTAAATTACTGCAATTAAACTGAACGCAAGTTTCTTATCTTTTGTGATGAGTAAGATTACTTTGGTGAATAATCACTCTCTGTCTGCTTCCTTCCCAGGGGGAACTTGGGAAGCTTATGCTTTTATTGACTTTAATTCATCGGGTACTCTGCTGGCCAGTGTAGGGGGCAGTCCCGATTATATGCTCACCATCTGGAATTGGAAGCAGGAAAGAATAGTTCTGCGCTCAAAAGCATTTTCACAGGATGTTTATCGGGTCACTTTCTCACCAGAAAATGACGAACAATTGACCACCTCCGGCACAGGACACATCAAGTATGTGACCAAACTAAGTTGTGATTAATCCTGAATTGCATTCCGTGTCAATATTTATACTCTAACAGTTCGATAATTGTGTATGAATAAATTGGGAAGGTTAGCTTGGAAAGTGCACTGGGAAATATCTGTGCTGCTGTTCCTTATCCCCAGCTAAAGCTGAAGGTCTGATGGGAGAAACAGTGTGATACTGCATTTCTGAAGGAGAGTTCTGGGAGTAGTTATGTTCCCTAGTATTTTGGGCCTCATGATAGAAACATAGAATAGTTGCAATACAAAATGCAGTCATTCAGCCCATTGTATCTGTGCTGCCTCGCTGCAAGAGCAACTCACCTAGTCCAATCCTCTCTCTTTTCCCATGGTCCTACAACTTCTTGTTCTTTTGAGAAAAATATCCAATTCTGTTTTGAAGACCATGATTGAATATTCCTCTGTCTGCATTTCGAGGCTGTGCATTCCAGATCCTAATCCCTTGCTGCAGAAAAGGTTTTCTCATGTCGCTGCAGCTCCTTTTGCCAATCACTGGAGGAGTGCTGGAGTTCATATATAAATCCGATTGCATTTTCTCATTACTTTTGTTCTACAGTTGGCAGCGATTTGCTTGTATCTGCTGGCATAATATGCAAGGATCGTGAACTGTAGACTTGCAGTGGTTTTAAACAAGGCCTTGCAGTTAAGATAAGAAGCTAAGGTACTATTGCATGTGTTTGTCGCCAAATAGTAACCAAAAAAAGTATGTACTGTAATATAGTTAAAGTTTCTGTTAACACAATTGTGTTATCAAGTCATCTCCTTTCTGGACAGAAATAATGTCACTATATGAATCAGAGATGTGTTGCAGCATAGAAGGAGGCCATTTGACCTGTGGTGTCTGTTCTAGCTCTTCAAATGAACAATGCACCTATTGTCTCCCTCTGCCTTCTTCCCATAATGCTACAAATTCTTCCTTTTTAGATACTAATCCAAATCCTATATGAATACATTGATTGACCCTGCCTCCACTAGAATCTCAGGCACTACATTCCAGAACCTAACCACTAGCTGTGGGGAAGGTTTCCCCTCGCGTTTCCTTGCTTCTTTTAGCAATTACCTTAAAGTAGTACCCGCTGGGTCTTCATCCTTCTGTAACTATACAGGATATGGATGAGGCCCCTTTTAGAATACTGTGTAGAATTCTGGTGGTGCTTCTATAGAAAGGATGTTGTTAAACGTTAAAGGCTGCTGGAATGAATGTTATAGGGAGAGGCTGAATAGGCTGGGGTTTTTTTCCCTGCATCGTTGGAGGCTGAGGGGTGAACTTATAGAGGTTTATAAAATCATGAGAGGTATGGATAGGGTGAATAGCCAAAGTCTTTTTGTCAGGTCGGCGAGTCTAAAACCAGAGGGCATAGGTTTAAGGGAAAAGGGAAAGATTTAAAAAGGACCGGAGGGGTAACTTTTTCATGCAGAGGGTAGTGTGTGTATGGAACGAGGTGTCAGAAGAAGTGATGGAGATGGTACGGTTACACCATTAAAAGGCATAGGAATATGGGCGAAATGGTGGCAAATGGGACTAGTTTGGATTGGGATGTCTGGTAGGCATGGACGAGTTAGACCAAAGTGTTTGTTTCCATGCTGTGTAACTCTATTGACTCTAAGTGGAAGCTATTTTTCCCTAATTACTCTGTTCGGAGCCTTGAGTTTGAATCCTTTATCAAATCCTGTCCCAGCATTGTCTTTTCCAAGGAAAACAATCCCAACTTTTCCAAACTTTTCCAACATATTTTCCCAACTTTTTGCAACTCAAAATCTTCATTTGTGGAACCATTCCAACAATATTTTCCTGTACCCTCTGTAATGCCTTAATGTATTTGCTGAAGTGTGATACCCAGAAAAGGATGCAATACACCAGTTCCTCTCAAATCTGTTGTGCTGCACTGGATCAAATGCCTTTGTAAGTCCCTGTACACCTTATCAACTGCATCACTCTCATCATCACTCTATCACTTCTTCTCCAGCAGGTTAGTTGGACATGATTTTCCCATGACAAACTCATTCTGGTTTTCCTTATTAACCTGTATTTGCCCAAGCAACGGTTCATTTTGTCCAAAATTATTGGTTCTAGAAGCGTCCCTACCACTGAAGCTGAACTGACTGGCTAGTTGTATCTTTACACTCTTTTGCAGCCTACGTGACATTGCAACTTTACAATGAGGCACATAAAAATCATGTAAACTGGAGATTGTCACCTCATTGTTTTTGCTTCTAACTCTTCCAGGTTTTGGAAGATGGTGGAGACCTTCACTGGGTTGAAACTGCAAGGTGAACTTGGCAGGTTTGGCAAGACTGCGCTGACAGACATTGAAGGTTATGTAGAGTTGCCAGATGGAAAGGTACAGTTGGCAGTTTCCTCTACCCTAAGTTTATAAGGAAGATAACCTATTTATTATACAAGAAGAAATATACTTATGAAGCAAAATTTTGGCTACCTTCTATTTTTGATTTCAAAACATCTTTGTATTTTGGAATAGTTCTCATATTTCAAAAGATAGAATCAGATAAAAATAAAAATAAAATGAACTATTATAGAATAGAAAGAGGCCCTTTTCCCCATTGTGTTTGCGCTCCGTGTCAAATACCTATCTGCTGTAATCCCTTTTTCCAGCATTTGGCCCGTAGCTTTGTCTGCCAAGGTTTCTCAAATGTTTGCCTAAATATTTCTTGAATATCGAGATGGTTCCTGGCTTTAACATCCCCTCAGGCAGTGGATTCCAGATAACCAATACCCTCTGTGTGACAAAGATTTTACTTAAATTCTCTGTAAACCACATGCATTTTACCTTAAATCTATTCCTGGTTATTGATCCCTCCACTAAGAGGACATGTTTCTCCCTATCTACACAATCAATGCCCTTCATAATTGTGTACATCTCAATTAGATTCCCCCTTAACCTTTTATGTCTAAGAGAAACAACCTATCGAATCACTCTTCAGAGCTGAAATGCTTTATCTAAGGCTAAACATGGTGAATCCTTTCTGCAGCCCCTCCAGTCCATCACATCCTTTCTATAGTGTGGTGACCAGGACTGTACTCAAAACTCCAGTTGTGGCCTAGCCAATGTCTTATACAGCTTCATCATAATTTCCCTGCTCTTGTATTCAAAATGCCTTGACAAATCAAGGCAAGTATCCCATGTGCCTTTTTAACCACCCAATCCACGTGCCCTGTTGCCTTCAAGGCTCAATGGACGTGCACACCAAGTTTCCTCGGATCCTCAGTATTTTCCAGGGTCCTATTGTTCATCATGTTCTCCCTTGTCTTGTTACTTCTACCAAAATAGATCTCCTCACATTTAACATGATTAAATTCAGTCAGCTGTTGCTGTGCTAATCTGACCAGCCTGTCTATTTCATCCTGTAATCTAATGCTTTCCTCTTTACTACTTAACACACCACTAATTTTTGTGTCATCTGCAAGTTTACTGATCAAGCCTCCTATATTTGTGTCTAGATTATTAACGTACACCGTAAACAGTAGTGAATAACCTGCTACACTAAACTTTCTGCAAGGGAATGAGACAAGAGATTTGATTCCTATCAAACAGGTTTCTCTTTAAAGAAACATAGATGAAGAGGCAAGATTATACTGGGAGGTAAGATGGAGGTGGAGGAGAACAAGATAAATTGGGAATGGTAGTCGTGATTAACAGTAAGATGTTGGGACACAATGTGGAGTTTGAGATGGTTTCATCCATCTTCAAGTTAGGATAGAAAAAAACCATTTGGAGATACATCAAGTATATTCAAAGTGAGAGACACAGAATCTACTCTTTAAGTGAATCAAGGTTTAAGGGGATAAAGCAGGAGAGTGGAGTTGAGGATTATCAGATCAGCCATGATCTCACTGACTGGCAGGATGGAGTCAATATGCCAAAAGGCCTCCACCCTCTCGAGTGTCTTATGGTTGAAAAATTCATTAGCTTTATTACAATTTCAAACTAACCTCTCTCCAGAAGCATTGTCGACTTCATGTCTCCAACCGAACAGCATGTTTGTTGTGAATATACCATTGTTCGTGGAGTTCAGTCATTGGTAATGTAAATTTGGATGACACATCTACATAACATCTCTAATGGAGATCAATTGTTACTTAAAGAAAAATGTGTGAAACGTGTTGGGGTAGAAAAGAAGCTTAGAATTATTTAACATTTTTCATGTCTTCAAAATGTTCTTAACCTTCTTGGCAGTTAAATATTTTTGAAGTAGTGTCACTATTACTTTGTGCAAATCCAGCCTCCAATTTTTGCAGAACAATTAAATAAAACATGATTGCTTTTAGTTATGCTGATTAATGAATAAATACAGCCTAAGACAACATTTATTCATTCCACGCAACAATTCTATCTATCTTTGTGCTTGAAGATTTGCTTCTTTCTTGCAGGTTGTGTCTGGCTGTGAATGGGGTAATATGTTGTTGTGGGATGGAGGTCTTATCAAAGTGGAACTAAGCAGAAAGGATGGCAAGCCATGTCACCAAGGACCTATAAATCAATTTGTACTGGATGAAGGAGAACTTATTACTATTGGTGCTGATGGGTATGTGCGGGTGAGTGATGACAGATATTAAAACCCAGTGGTTAAACAAACTTAATTCCATCATGAACTGCTGTCAATGCAATTCACATAGGTCAGTATGAAGTCCACTTCCTTGCTTTTCTTTCTTCACTGCAGTATGTTGATATTGATGATGTGCAGCCTGAAAACGTTACCTGAGTTTGTCCTACCTTACAACTTTTGTAAATTGCTATGGAGAATATCAAGGACAGAATGTAGAGAAGGATATGTTGACTTGATGCCTTGAAGTATGATGGGGGAAGCTCGCGTTGTGACACAAAACATTGAGGCTGAATGGCCTGTTTCTGTGCTGTAAATTCTATTTAACATAGATCCTCTTTAAGGAGAATTAATTTCATGTTTGTTTTTACATCAGAAAGTCCTTCTATTTTTTGCTTTCTCATTAATTCTGTCTTTTTATCTCAACAACACAAACCATATACTGACTTTCCCGTAGAGTCATAGAGATGTACAGCGCGGAAACAGACCTTTCAGTCCAACTCGTCTATGCCGACCAGCTGTCTTAGATTAATCTGGCTCCATTTACCAGCATTTGGCCCATATCCCTCGAAACCCTCCCTATTCATATACCCATCCAGATGCCTTTTAAATGTTGTAATTGTACCAACCTCTACCACTTCCTGTGGCAGCTCATTCCATACACACACCACCCTCTGTGTAAAAAAAAGTTGCCCCTTAGGTCCCTTTAAAATCTTTCCCCTCTCATCTTAAACCTATGCCCTCTAGTTTTTGACTCCCCCACCTGGGGGAAAAGACCTTGGCTATTCACCCTATCCATATCCCTCATGATTTTATAAACCTCTATAAGTTCAGCCCTCAGCCTCTGATGCGCCAGGGAAAATAGCTGCACCTGTTCAGCCTCTCCGTATAGCTCAAACCGTCCAACGCTGGCAACATCCTTGTAAATCTTCTCTGAACCCTTTCAAGTTTCATAACATCCTTCTTCAATCTCTTTTGAAATGTTCTGCAAGTTCTGAAGCTTTCATTAAGGTCTTTACCTAAAGCTGATGTCCAACCTGCAATTATCTGAAGCATAATACACCAAGCTGACGATTTCTCAGGCTTTTGACTTGCACTACTTGGATTCAATATTATTACTATAAGCCACTTGAGACAAAGTGCATGTCACTGAGGTGCTCCAGGTCTGATATGCCTTTGATGTCTCTCTGCAGAGATAAATAATCTCAGGATTATTACCATCATTCACATGCTTATTTTTATTTATATGAACTTCCAGAAAGCATTTGACAAGTTCCCTCATAAGAGACTGTAAGTTAAAGTTTGAACTCGTGGAAATGAAAGCCAGTTATTGACCAGGTTAGGAAATTGGCTGAATGGCAGAAATAGAGATACTGGGCAAGTACCCCAATTGGCAGGATTTGAACTACTCATTAATTACATGACTGTGGCAAATGGATATCAATATAGCCAAATTTGAGGTAATTCACTTTGGTCCTATCAAAGGATAGAACAGAGTAGTTTCTGAATCGTGAAAAGCTAGTGAAAGTCCAAAGGGTCCTGGGGAACCTGGCACCCACACGCAGAAAATAAGCAAAAAGCCTAATGAAATGTTGACCTTTACATCTAGAAAACTAGAATACAAGTGTTAGAAGTTACATTTCAATTTACAAATCTGGTTAGACCCCAACTGAGGTACAGTGAACAGTTCTGGACACTAGTCATTAGGAAGAATATTTTAGTCAATAGGAGAGTGTTAATTTATGAAATATTACCTGGACTCCAAGAGTTAAATTACAAGGAGAGGCGACACAAATAAGGTTTGCATTTAATTAATTTTCAATGTTAGGGGGTGATTTTATTGACTTTTACAAGGTATGAAAGGTAACAGACATGTTTGGTGAGTCTAGGACAGGGTTCACAGTTTGGAGCAAGACCTTTCAGAAGTGAAATGAGGAAATTTCTTCACGCATAGTAACTGTGTTTGATTAACAGTTTTTTGAGAAGGTACGGGGGGAAATTTTTTCAAAGGAAATGTTGAATGGCTGATTGTTTTCTTGTTTAATGCATACACATTTCAAAAGTTTACTGGTTATTTTATACATTTTGTTTTAATCACTCAAGGGATGTGGTCGTTGCTGGCTGGGAGCCAGCATTTATAGCCCATTGCTAATTGCCCTTGAGAAGGTGATGGTGGGCTACCTTCTTGAACCACTACAGTTGGTTAAATGTAGGCACATCCACAATGCTGTTGGGGAGGGAGTTCCAGGATTTTTACACAGTGACACTGAAGGAACAGTGATAAAGTTCCAAGTCAGGATGATGAGTGGCTTGGAGGGGAACTTGCAGATAATGTTGTTCCTATATACCTGTTGCCCTTGACCTTCTAGATGGTAGCGGTGGTTGTGGGTTTTAAAGGTTCTGTCTAAGGAGCCTTGGTGAATTTCTACAGTGCATTGTACAGATTATGCATGCTGGTGCTATTGGTGGAGGGAATGGATGTTTGTAGATGTGGACTGCTTTCTCCTGGATGGTGTCAAGCTTCTGAAGTGTTGTTGGCACTGCATTCATCCAAGCAAGTGGGGAGTATTCCATCAGACTCCTGACTTGTGCCTTGTAGATGGTGGACAAGCTTTGGACAGTCAGGAGGTGAGTTACTGACTGCACGATTCCTAGCCTCAGACTTGCTCTTGTAGCCACAGTGCTAGTCGAGTTCAGTTTCTGGTCAATGGTAATCCTTGTGATATGTTGATAATGGGGTGCTTAGTGATGATGATGCTCAGGAATGTTACTGGGTTGATAGTTACATTCTCTTTTGTTGAAGATGGTCATTGCCTGACAGTTGCCGCTTGTCAGCTCATGCCTGGAAATTGCCCAGTTCTTGCTGCATTTGGACTTGGACTCCAGTATGTTAGGAGTCACAAATGATGCTGAACATTGTGCAGTCATCAGCAAACATGCCCACTTTGACCTAGTGAATATTGAAAGAGTGCTTCAAAGGCACAGCAGATATCAGTCATTAAATTAATGTGAGAAAAAAAACCACTGCATCATAAACTATTACATTAGGACAGCTGAAGTTCGAAAGCTGTTGCCAGCTTGCTTGTCAAAAGTTTCCAAGCTTCACAAGGCCTTCCCAAGATTCATGAACTGACTGACTTGAGGGGTCCCCAGCCTTCAGGAACCCACCTGCCTAGATGAAAATATCAATGATAGAAAAATTAAATATAGAGCATGATTTAGATAGAATTATAGAATGGCTACAATATAAAGGAAGGCCACGACTTATTTCTGAAGAAGGGTCTAGGCCTGAAACGTCAGCTTTCCTGCTCCTCTGATGCTGCTGGGCCTGCTGTGTTCATCCAGCTCTACACCTTGTTATCTCATGACTTATTGTGCTGTGTTTAGCCTTTCTTATGAGCAATTCCTCTAGTGCTACTATCTTACCTCATCCCTCTAGCTCTGCAATTTTGTTTTTAATTTTACAGATGACGATTCAATTCCCTTTCAAAGTTATGATTGGATGTCTCTTTCCCACACTGTAAGGTGATACATTCCACATTCTTAACAATTCACTACATTAAAGAGATTTTCCTCATTTTTGATGATTTGAGATTTCTTATTTTGCCAAGTATCTTAGATGTGTGTCTTTTGGTTCTTGATCCCTCCAATGAAAGCAATTTTTACTCTGTCCAGGCCCCCTGTGATTTTGAACACCTGGAGTCCTGGAGATCTACAGCAAAGGAAAAGGCCCTTCAGCCCATTGTGTCCAAGCAGGTCAAAAACAACTGCCTAAATATTCTAATCGCAATTTCCAGCACTTGGCCCATATCCTTGATTAATACTCTTTTCAACCCTCTCTTCTCCAAAGGGAACTGTTTCAATTTCACCAGTCTGTCTGCACAACTGAAATTCCTTATTCTTTGAAAATCATTCTCGTGAATCTTTTCAGCATGCTGCCTAATGTCTTCACATTCTTTATAAAGTGTGGTGATCAGAAGTGGACACAATGCTTCAGTGTTTGTTACAAGTTTGTCACTTGTTTTTATTTTCTGTGTCTAAAAAAATTTCTTAGTTACTAATATGTCCTCCATTTTCTAGGTGAGGTGACATTTGAAATCAAGAACTTACAATATTGGGATTGTCAGTGAGGCATTCCTGAAGTGAGACAGATATTCTTCAAGTAGAAATCTTAAAATAGTGCTCCACCCCAACTTTGCGTACTCTCTCAGCCGTATGAATACTGAACTATTTCCATTGATTTCAGGTCTGGGATTTTGAGACCATTGACACAGCGGAATCTTATGATGAGGATTCTGTATTAGAGATGGAACCAATGAATGAATTGCACGTTGGCAGGCATGTTAACCTCCGGTTCATGGTGAAGTTCAAAGACTCAAACTTTATTTGGTGTGCCCAGGTATTTTAAAAAGATTTGTTTCGAAAAGAAATAATTTGCATGCATTTCACAGAGACATCATAATATGTGTAGTAAGATGAATTGGAGCATTCAATGCTATAAAATCTGGTACATAAACCTATATTAACTGTTTTATGGATAAACATGGTGCCTGTGAAGTACTATTCACTTCCCATGACACATTCTGCATTATACTTCGTTGAGTGGCTCAACATGAGAGAAATGAATTAGGCTTGAAAAAGTAAGGAACAGAAAAAGTAAGAAAAAGGGCGGCACGGTGGCTCAGTGGTTAGCACTGCTGCCTCACAACACCAGGGACCCAGGTTCGATTCTACCCTTGGGCGACTGTCTGTGTAGAGTTTGCACGTTCTCCCCATGTCTGCGTAGGTTTCCTCCGGGTGCTCCAGTTTCCTCCCACAATCCAAAGATGTACAGGCTAGGTGGATTGGCCATGCTAAATTGCCCATAGTGTTCAGGGATGTGTGGATTATGTGGGTTATAGGGGGATGGGTCTGGGTGGGATGCTCTGAGGTTCTGTGTGGACTTGTTGGGCCAAAGGGCTGTTTCCACACTGAAGGGATTCTATGATCCTATGAAAATTAGAAGATTGGCAGTGAGAAACACTTATAAAGACAAACAAAGGGAAGGTGAAGTGAAATATAAATCAGTTGAATCGGTACTAGTACTTCTTAAAAACTGCTATTGGTCCATTTTTCCTCAGTAGTTGAAATGTCACGTACCAAATAAAATTTTAAACAAGTAAAGTTGTCAACCAATGTTACATTTAATGACAGAAAAACTAAATTGAATGATGGAATAATCTGTATTATGTCTTTATTGAAGTACTTGTTTCAAATATCAGGCCATGTCAACAGCCTGTGATGGATTTTATTTTGTACGACAGTTGAAGGGAGTTATCAGCCATACCTGTAGATTGTGGATAGATATGAGTTTCACAATTGCCCAGTATGGGCCAGTGCACCTGAGCTGAGGTAAAAGCAGGGTTATCAGTTTCTTTGCTTCTATTCTTTACGTTTTTTGAGAAAGAGATTGAATTCGGATAATTTTTAAATTAACAATTTAATCAGTATACCTGAACATTAATTTGAAGCACTCAGTTGTCTGTTGCGAGTGTGCAGTTAAAGATAACCAGTGGGAGTTTCTTCTTGGCAAGGGTATTGCTCCAGTTTTGGTGGATCAAGGCTGTAACACGGCTTTGGGATTTTGGATTGTATTATACGATTATCCCTAATGATAAACTGTTGGTAGATTTTTGCTTGCATTGGGTAGCACACTGTGTGGAAGGGAGGAAAACTGCTGTTGCAAAGTTGGGGTGCAGCAGCAACCAGACATGATTGCCTGTTTCTGTGGCAACCGAAGAGAGGGCACTGAATTGTCAAAAGCTTCAGGAAGGCTTGAGTCTTTCAGAGCATCAGCTGGTATGGTGCTAATGTTGTTGCTGTTTTGGTCTGTGATTTTCCATTGTTTAAATACTTTGATCATTCCTTGCTAATTCAGAACAGATGCGGCAAGTACCAGTGGGATGTAGGGACACTGGCAGTTTAGCTCTTTGTCCAATTCTTTATTTTTTTAACCAAGGATAACGCCACTGAATTATAGCAACTAAAGTAAAATCTGCTCTCATATCTTTTGAAACTCCATAATAGCCAGTGGCTTTTATTATAAGACATTGATGTTTGAGTTTGCTAAATTAATACAGGTAAAGTAAACTGAACAATTCTGTTTTTCCACAGGATGCCAATGGCAAAATCTGGAAACTTGACCTCTCCTTTTCAAATATTGTAAGTACAAGAAATTGTTTTTGGTTAATTAAGCAAATAAGAGCAGGCTGTTAGTATAACATGGATCTTTCTCCTTTTTCTGCCTCAATCTCTGTCTTTTTCTCTCGCTTGCCTATATGAATATCTCTTCACCCATAACCTATATTTATTTATGCATTCTTGTGCTGTGTGCGTTGCTGGCCAGGCCAGCATTTATTGCCTGCCTTATTGCCCTTGAAAAGGTTATAATGAGCTGCTTTCTTGAACTACTGCAGTCCAGGTGGTGTAGGAATGACCACAGTATTAAGAAGTGAGTTCTAGGATTCTGACCCAGTGACAATGAAGGAATGGCGATATAGTTCCAAGCCAGGACGGTGAGTGACATGGAAGGTAGCTTGCAGGTGGTGGTGTTTCCTTGTCCTTTTGGGTGGTAGAACTCATGGGTTTGAAAAATGTTGTTGGAGCAGCTTTGGTAAGTTGTTGCTGTACATTTTATAGATGGAGCACACTTCTGCTGCTGTGCAGTGGTGGTTGAGGAATTAATGCAGAAGGTGTTCAGTGGGGTTTCATCAATGGGATGCTTTGTCCTGGATGGTATCGTCTTACTGCTATTGTTATTGGAGCTGCACTCATCCAGGCAAGTGAAGGGCATTCCATCACATTACTGATTTGTGCCTTATCGATGGTGGATAGACTTTTAAGGAGCCAGGAATTGAGTTGCACACCACAGAATTCACAGCTTCTGACCTGCTGTTATAGCCACTGTATTCATATGGCTAGTCGAGTTCAGCTTCTGGATGTTGATAGTGGAGGGTTCAGTGATGGTAATGCCATTGAATGTCAAGGGGTCATTGAATGCTTACAGGAATTAGATTTTGAAGGATTGTTTAAAAATTAATTTATTTTGAGTTTTGTGGACATGGAATAGTTTCTTTAAAAGAGGTCATTGAAAGTTTACAGCAGACATTGGAGATTTTATTAACAAAGCTACCTAAAAATTACGTGACTGGTAATAACTACCTACTTTGGTGTAGACCATGCTGGACCTTTTTGAGCAGAGATTGGTTTGGAGAGGTTTTTGTTTTCTCCAATAAAAGGAAAATACTGTGAATGTGAGAGAACAGAAAATGCTGGAGAAACTCAACAGGTGTGGCAGCATCTGTGGATAGGGAAACACAGTGAACGTTTGGAGTACAATATCTGAAGAAGAGTTCTATTGGTCTCGAAATGTTAATTCTGTTTCTCTCTCCACAGATTCTTCCAGATCTGCTGAATTCCTCCAGCACTTTCTGTTTTTAATCTCATTTCCTGTAACTAAGTTGGTGGGAAGCTTGCTATGAACAAGCTGCCCAGCTGATTTCTCCTGTTTCTGAAAAGAAAACCCTCTGCATCAGTTCACAGTGAAGACTTTAAGGACAACCTTGTCTGATTATTGGCTTGACTACATGTGCCAGAACAGCAGAGTAATAGACTTGGGCGCATCTTATGCTTTATCCTTTTGCCTTCAAGAATAACCCATTGGCCAAAATTGCTTTTGTCCCAGATAAAAACCGAAAGAACTGTGGATGCTGTAAATCAGGAACAAAAACAAAGTTGCTAGAAAAGCTCAGCAGGTCTGGCAGCATCTGCAAAGGGAAAAAACAGAGTTAACGTTTCGGGTCCAGTGACCCTTCCTCAGAACTGTTCAGAGGAAGGGGCACTGGACCTGAAACGTTAACTCTGCTGAGCTTTTCCAGCAATTTTGTTTTTGTTGCTTTTGTCCAGAAAGCCACACTCTGCAGAGAAATCTGATTTAGTTTCCTCTTTGCCTGGAGAATGAGAGTAAAAGAGAGTTAATGTGTGTGCTTTGGGATATTTAGAGGGATAAATATTTATTCTTCTATATTACTGACAGTGTAAATTAACTAAATATTGCATCTTTATTGAATTGTTTTATTTTGATGATAAACCCAAAATTATGTATATTAAGAAACTTGGTTAATTCATCTTTCTGTTTAAATACCTGCTACGGATGAGGTATTCAATTAGTCATCTCAGCAGGTGGAAAAAGTACTTTTTATTTTATGTTGTGATCCATGGTGTAGTTTGACTGGAGCCACAGTGCACTTCCCCAGCCTCAGACATAACTATAGTGATGAATTCCTTGACCTCCTGCCATTTTTATGATAATGGCTTTACCAGAATAGTTCAAAATAATTAATTTATAATTTATTTTGAAGTTGTCCAAATGTACGATGTAGGTTGAATGTGCAGCAGTTTCAGTATGCCGAGTGTGGATATTGAGTTTAAAGAGATGGGCACACATCATGGAGCTTATTCTCCACTGGGTAATCACAAGCTTTTGCAGCTGCATGCTCCAAGACAAACATACTGTGTGAGAATACAGAACAAAACCAATTGACTCGACTTGTTTGTGCTAATAATTTGCTCAAGCAATCCAAAATTAATGCCACTCTCACATTCCCTCCCAATAGCCTGTTTCTTTATTTGCTTCAAATCCATAACCAAATTTCTCTGAAAAAGTTTAATAATCACTGCCATAACTTGCCCCAAAGTGACAGATATATCCCATGTTTTAACAACCCCACTTTCTACAAAGATGCTTCTCCAAACCCTTTTCCTTACTCTCAATAAGTATAAATTAATGATTCCTTATCACTGACTTCCCAATCAGCCTTTCACTTTCACTCCATAACAGCCCTTTATATTTTTAAACCTCCTGTACACTTTCACTGCTCCAATGGAAGTATTCCCAATATTTTAAGAATCCCTAATAACTACGTTTTTCATTCCTGCTATTATCCTATTCATTTGATATCTGACAAGCAGAAATGTCCTCCAGTTAATTACTGTGAAGTCTGAAGCCATGATTTTAGGTTCTCAGTCTAAATTTTGATCCCCGATTCCATCCATCTCTCTGGCAGTCCTTTGACATTTAGCCAGTCTGTTGACAACTTGGATTCACACTTGACCTCCAAGTCTTCTGACCTTATATTCATGTAATTACTAAGACAGCCTATTTCCACCAATATTGATGACTTTGCCCATGTCTACTTTGAAACCTTCATTCATTTTTTCATTACTTCTAAACTTGGCTATTTGAATGCTCTCTAGAGCTGGCGTCCTATATGAGGATCCAAAACTCTGTTGCCCATGTTGTAATTTACATCAGAGTCCATGTACTCTTGTTATTCCTTTGTTTGCTGACCAACATGTATTAGTTTCAAAATTCTTATCCTTGATTTTAAATCATACAATGGCCTTGCCTTTCTAAAATTCTGTAATATCTGCCAGCACTGCACTATTGCTGTGCCATATCTGTGCTCCTGTAATCCGGAGACCTTCCACATCTTGATTTTAATCACTTCATCATTGATGGCTATCCCTAAGCTCTAAGATGTGAGATACCCTTTTTTGCCCTGTTCCAAGCTGACATCCTTCCTGCTGGTGCTAGTTGTGAAATGTAGCTGGTTTCTCCATTTTCCAGAACTGACATCTCTGTCACTGTTATTGATCAAATCTATCAGATAAAGGAAACACCTTGTATGAACATTGCATCCTTCAAACCAGTTACTTTCAGTTATCATTTTTTCTCCATATCTTAACAGTTTTTTTCTGAACCTCGCAGACCCAAGACCCTGAGTACCTGTTTTCTTTCCATTCTGGGCCGATCCAGGCCATGGACCTTTCACCACTCACCTATCTGATGGCAACAACAGCACTTGACCGTAGGTTTGACTTCTTTACTTAAATAAAACATATTTACGTTTAGATGCAATTCAGTTATGTTTTTCTCGAAGAATAAACAATTTTTGGAGATCACTTTAAGGCAAATAAACTGACAAACAAAAGTAACTACTCTGCTTTATACTTGATTTTATTGTTCATGGGATGTATGTGTCCCTGGCAATGCCAGAATTTATTAGCCATCCCTAATTGCTCATGAGAAGGTGGATGAAAACTGCCCTCTTGAACTGTTGCAGTCCATGTAATGTAGGTACATTCACAATGATGTTAGGTAAGGTGTTTTAGGATTTTGACCCACCAACAGTGAAAGACCAGGTGCGCTGTAGTTCCAAGTCAGAATAGGTGGAGTGAGAATGGAATTAAGGGAGAGAATTAGAGTTTAGGATTTAGACACATGAGGCTGTATTTTGGTTAGTGGGTGGAGGCTGAGAGAGGCCCATGTCAATAGAATGGAGATTTTGAAGGGTTGGACCATGGGGTTGGAGGAGATTGTCAAGAAGGGAAGAGATGCAAATAGATGGATTTGAATATTTGACCTGAGGTGGGGAGCTAATATATGCCAGCAGGAATTGGAGTGATGGATGAGTGATGGAGGAGTGTGCTAAAGGTTAAATACCACGGTGTTTATATCGAAGGATGGGAGATTAGGAAGTAGAGTGCAGTCAGGCTTGGAGGAGACAGAAATGTGTAGAAAGGTTGCACTGGTAGAGGAGAGACTTAAATTTTGTTCGAATTAATCAGGGAGTTTCAACAAGCACTCCCTTCACCATTGAACAGTGGCTCTGATGTTTACTATCTGATGATGCACTACATTAACTCACCATGGCTCCTCCAACAGCACTCTCAAGATCTGCAACCTCTACCACTTTGAAGCACAAGGGTAGCAGATACATGTCACCTACATGCTCCTGCCCAAGCCACACACCATCCTGATTTGGAAACATATCATGTTCCTTCAACGTTGCTGGGTCAAATTCTTGGAACTCCCTCCCTGATAGCACATTAAGTGTCCCTATTCCCCAAGAACTGCAGTGGTTTAAGAAGGCAGATCGCCACCAACTACTCCAGGGCAATTAGGATTGGCCAATAAGTGTTGGTCTAACCCATAATGCCCAGATCCCATCAAAGAATCATAAAAATCTGAGAATGTGGGGAGTCTGGCTCAGCTTGAAACTGTGGCAGGCAAGTGATTAAATTTGTTCTAGATGTCGAAAAGGTAGTCTGATAACACATCTAGGGCATCAAAATGGTAGAGCTGGGTTTCAGTGGTATGTTTTAAAAAGGAGCAGATGCCACTAATGATGTTACTGTGGGCCAGTATATAAATGGAGAAAAGGAAGAAGCTGATATTTGTGCAACTGCTGAGCTGAAATTTCATAAAGGAGACAGGAAATCATTCCATGTATGAAATCATTTTATGTTCAAAGGGGTAAGAATAGGACCCTGTAACAGTTGTACCATAAAGCTGGACAACAGAAACAAGACATTTGCAGAAGGATGACACAGTTAACCTTCTTCAATTTTGAAAAAATGACCACGGCCACAATAACAGAGTTGGTAAATGATGGTTCTTGTAATGGCTTGACACTGCACTGAAAGGATTTAAACATGGACTTTAGGTTTGATATGCTCAGATGAGAAGCAATGATGTTTTAAGCATGTTCATTGGGAATGAGGGCTGGAGATAAGAAATTACTGTTTAGTGAGGAACAAAGAATCAATGGTGAGCAGTTCTGAGTTTGAGATAATTAGTGGTGGTTTGGCAGGGAGAGGGCCAGTGCTTGTGCAGTGGAGGCCATCAGTGCTGACAGAGATAGCACAGGGACCTGAATGTTGAATGGTAGGAGTTGAGTGGAAAGGTAATTGAGAAGACAAAGGTTGGTTTCCTGCAAAATTAATAGAATAAGGTTAAAGTGAGTGAGACCGGGCGTTGTTGGATGGGTGGAGGAAGCATAAGTCAATGTTTATGAAAAATAAATCCATAGATTTGTTGCTGTTGGGTGGAGAAAGACCCAGTGGTTTGCAAAGAAAGAAGCCTGGAGTTCTCACTGCAGATTAGAGTAAATAAATTCAAAGAGTTCTGGAACTTAGGGTCATAGAATAATAAATGCATGTAGTGTTGGAAAAACTCAGCAGGTCTGGTGGCATCTGTGAATGAATTTTCTTCCTATTGTTTATGTTTACAGTCATATTGAACTCAAAACGTTAACTCTCTTTCTCTCTTCAAGCATACATCCAGACCTGCTGAATTTCTCCACTATTTTGTTTACTCTCTAGAATAACTTGTTGCTGGCACCTACCTCCTCCCTCCATCCTCCTGCAGAGCATTGTATTCTTCTTTTGCCAAGCTCCATATTTTTATACTAGAATAGATCTTGATTTTGTCCTCCATATGCACAAAACCATTTTGTAAATATTTATGTAGAAGTTAGAATTGTTTTGGGTGCAAAGCTTTCTCTGATGCCACAGAACTGTCTGTGAATTTTATATATATATGTCAATGCTGGCTGCATCAGAGATTTTTGTCAGGGAGTCAATCCTGAAATTTGCTCACATCTTTTTCTTTGTCCTTTACAATTCCAGGCACAGTGCGCATCTATGACTTTGTGAGAAAAAAATCAATGGCCACTGTGAAATACAGTCAAGGAGGAACTGCATTAACCTGGGCACCTCTTGTGGTATGTGCGACTTCACTGTAGTTGCTTCTAAGTGAACTGGTGTCTTTGCAATGATTACAAGTAGATGAGAGAGAATTTAGCAAAAATGCACCATGCCTGAAGATTTTTAACTGGCACAAAAAACAGGCAATGTTTCTCAACACTGATCATATCCAGTAAAATTAAGGCTGCAGTCTGTACTGTGTAGGTTCGTAATGGGGTAGATTTTTGATTAGCAGCTTAGGGGTCAAACTTGCTGGAGAGAACTGTAATATGGTAGCCAAATTTGCTGATGATGCAGGGATAGGTAGGAAAGCAATTTGTGAGGATATAACATGTCTGCAAAGGGATTTAGGCAGAATAAGAGAGTGGGCAAAAAATTGACAGATGGGGTACAATGTGGAAGAACAGAAAAACAGCGTATGATTTAAATGGAGACAGAGATAGCACAGTTGTTGTTTCAGAGAGTTGTGGAACATAGAACATTGAGCTGTACAGCACAGGAACAGGTCCTTCAGCCCACCATGTTGTGCCAAATAGCCGTCTCCTGCTCCTATCTTCTATGTTTCTAACATGACACCAAATTAAACTAATCTCTTCTGCCTGCCCTTGGTCCATATCACTCTATTCCTTGCATATTCATATGCTTATCTAAAAATCTCTTAAATGCCCATAATGTATCTGCCTCCACCACTACCCCTGGCAGCGCATTCCACACTCCTACCACACTCTGTGTAAAAAAAAAAAAAAAAAAAAAAAAATAAACTTGTCCTTCACATCTCCTTTGAACTTTCCCCCTCTCCCTAGTTTTAGACATTTCAAGTCTGGGAAAAAGATTCTGACCATCAACCCACTCTATTCATTTCATAATTTTATAGACTTCTATCAAGTCTCCCCTCAGCTGCCACCACTCTATGAAAAAAAGCTGAATTTTTCTAGCCTCTAGTTCAAACCCTCTAATCCAGGCAGCATCCTGGTAAACCTCTTCCACACCATCTCCAAAGCCTCCATACCCTTTCTGTGATGTGGCGACCAGAATTGAGCACAATACTTTAAGTGTGGGCCAACCAAAGTCTTTTAAAGCTGCAACATGACATCTTGACTCTTGTACTCAATTCCCTGACCACTAAAGGCAAGCATGCCATATGCTTTCTTCACCACCCAATCTACATGCGTGGCTGTTTCAGGGAACTATGGACTTGAACCCCAAGATCCCTCTGTTCATTAATGCTGTTAAGGATCCTGCCATTAACTCTGTACTTTTCCTTAGCATTTGATCTCCCAAAGTATAGCTCCTGACACTTAGATGGATTATACACCATCTGCCATTTCTCTGTCCATATTCCACTGTATCCTTTGACAACCTTCTACAACTCCACTGCTCATTGTATCGTCTGCAAACTTACTAACACACCCATCTACACTTTCATCCAAGTCATTCATATATATCACAAACAGCATAGGTCCCAGTGCAGATCCCTGTGGAACACCACTATTCATGGACCTCCTGTATAAAAAACAATCTTCCACTACTGCTCTCTGCCTTCAATGGGCAAGGCAGTTCTGAATCCACGTGGCCAAGTCACTGTGGATCCCATGCATCTTAATTTTCTGGATGAACCTTTCCATGAGGGACTTTGTTGAAAGCCTTACTAAAATCCATGTAGAGAATATCCACTGCTCTACCCTCCTCTAAAAGTTCAATCAAGTTAGTAAGACATGCCCTGCACGAAGCCATGTCCCTAATTAGGCCATGTTTTATCAAATGCATGTAAATCCTATCCCTAAGAATTCTCTCCAATAGCTTCCCAACCACCTATGAGAGATTCAATGGTCAATAGTTTCCTGGATTATTCCTATTTCCCTTCTTGAATAGAAGAACACATTTGCTACTGGCCAGACTCCGGGACATCTCCTCCAGTGGCTAACGAGGATACAAAGATCTTGGTCAACGCCCCAGAAATCTCCTCCCTTGCCTCTCTCAATAACCTGGGGTAGATACCATTGGGCCCTGGGGACTTATCCACTTTAAAGTTTTTCAAGGGACCCAACACCACTTTCTTGATCTCAAAATGCTGTAGCATATTAGCATGCTCCAAGCAAATCTCACTATCCTCCATATCCTTCTCCTGGGTGAATACTGATGCAAAGTACTCATTTAGGATTTCACTCACATCCTCTGCATCCAAGCACAAGTTCCCTCCTTGTTGTAGGTAAAATATTACCAAGTATAATTCTGTAGTGAGTGAGTCAGACACAGCTTTATTAACAAAAGCTTTTGGGAGAAGCAGGGACCTCAAAGGGGCCTCACCAAACTTCTCAGCTATTACAGACGATTTCAAAGCTTATATACATTTGCTGTTACTCGCCACCCTCCCCCCAAGTCATGTACACAGTTCTTTAATCTGTTCCAGGCGTCTCACAAAGCCGGTGAAGGTTAGTGATGTTGTTTTTTTTTCGCGCGCAGGATCTTGCTGTTTCAGTGGATGTTTCCTCCCCAGGTTCGGTCTAAAGGTCCATTTCCTTATCAGAGTTGTTGTGTTGTTAACTCTTTACTTACTCCTTCAGTCCCCCCTTGTGGTCAGAGTCATGAGTACTCATGGCCTCTAGACTACTTACAGCCATATTTTCAGTGTCTCCGTGTCACCCATCAAGGGGCGCTCAACAGTCTTGTCGGTGCGCACACTTGCACCTGACATAATTCTCGCAGTTAAAATTTTACAGCACGAATTAAAGATGGCCATAACAACACAGCAAGAAATAACTATTATAATTAGTATAGTCAAAGCATGCAGCAGGTATGTCACCCAAGATCCACCTAGGAACCATTCGAGCCAACCATCCTATTTCTTGGGGCCTTGCCTGAAGTAATCAAGCTGCTTTCTTATATCATTAATGGCTTGGGTGACATTATAGGATTCATCCGTAACCTGTGTTATACACTTGTCCCCTACTATCGTGCACACTCCGCCCTGCTGGGCTAACTGGCATACCGGGTCTGCCGCGCATAGAGTCTTAACTCGGTTTATAGCATCCAACCCCTTTGCTGTGCTATTTCCCAGGATGGTCAGTCCACAGACGAGGTAGTTCCTATTTTTGGAACTAATGACTCCCGCTGTTCCCCCAGAGACAAGGCCCCGTGGAACCCGTAGCCAAATGAGGACCACAGTGTTACTGGGTCCATCCAGTCTGCACAGAATTTCTCGCTAATGGCTCGGGTCACTATCTTCCTATGGGTGTGTCCTCTCTGGGGGCACGGGATGGTAAGCGGTCCTATTGTCCCTACTGCAAAGAGGACTGGGAGGGTTGGTGTGGCTGTTGTGAAGGTCCCATTGAGGAGGAACACAAAGCCTTTCTTGGCTTGATAGCATTTGACCTCCTGATTATTTTTCTGCATGAACTGTTTGTACCACCAGTTCCTTGGAGTTTCTGCCTGACCCCACCAGTTGGTAGGTATCAAATGGATACGTCCATGCGGCTGAACTAACATGTGTCCCGTTGCACTGTCCACAAATAAACTGTCTACCTGCAGTTACGTTTAGACATCTTCGCTCATTACACGTGCACGTAAACAGGCCTTTGTTCACTTGGCAATGCTGGCGGGAGCACTGTGTCTGCACACAGGAGGCGTTCTTGGGGACTAGACCGTACGCGCACCCCCATCCCTGTCCTGAGAAGCAAAGCGGGTAACTTAACAGGCTTGAACATGTTGTGCCGTGCTTTTCCCGAGTTCCTGCACAATTGGGGGACTGTATCCTATTTGAGTTTATCAGCTCTACACATCTCCCTTGTATACCTCGTCGGTATGTACCGATTTGGCCCACACAGGGTGCGTCTAACGTATCTGCTGTGTATAGGTCAAAGGGGGTCCATCCAGGGGTGGCTACAAACAACGCCTTGACTGACTGGGCAAGTGGGTAGCACACGGTCCGATTACCGTGTAGATGTACGTGGGTCTTGTAAAACAAGTTGTCCTCTAATCCCGATACCCCTGCAATCATGACAATACAGAACACCGCGACCACGTATATCATCTTAGACATGTTTTAAACTCAGATGGTGAAATTGTATCTTATCACACTATGTTAACAATGTTCCAAAGGCTATACCGCCCGCGCGCGACTTCCCGCGCTCCCGATCAGCTTGCTTGGAGGTCTAGTAGAGGGTTGTCCTGTGAATAAAACATATCATTTTGGATCTCAATTGGTGTCCGTATATTCTTTAAGTTGGGACCAGTGTTTCCAGACGCCCTTCCCTTGCATATCTATGCAAGCGCAAGTGTCTCCACTGATGATAACTTCATAGAGGCCATTCCATTTGGGGGCGAAGCCAGGTTTCCCGGGTAGGGTCTTTACCATAACCTTGCTACCTGCAGATGGGACTTTGGGGCAATCCTCTAATTCCCTTTGTTCATCTTGTCCTTCCTGATTGTCCCTTACTGTTTTGCGCAACGCCTTCAAATGGGCGCTTAGTTCTAGCACATAGCGTCGTATTCTATCTCAGAGCGGGCCGACGTCGGAACCCCCCGTTATGATAGACACGGGCAGTTGCATTGCTCTGCCGGTCATCAATTTGTATGGGGTTAATCCAGTTGTGCGGCTCGTGGTAGCCCTTAGTTTCATCAGTATTGCAGGTAAGACCTCTGTCCATCGTTTACCAGAGTCTTGCAAAGCTTTCGCCAGGGAAGTTTTAAGGGTTTTGTTCATACGCTCCACCATGCCCGAGCTTTGGGGATGGTAGGGTATGTGGAACTTCTGTTTAATGCCCATCAGCTGGCATATGGTTTTTACCACTCTTCCAGTGAAATGGGTCCCCTGGTCAGAGTCAGTCTGGAGCGGCACCCCCCACCTGGGGATGACTTCTTTAGCCAGGATCCTAGCTACTGTGTTAGCTGAGCAATTCCGAGTCGGATACGCCTCTACCCATCTGGTAAATTGGTCAATAATTACCAGGCAATATGTCTTTCCATGGGATTGGGGAAGTGGTCCCGTAAAATCTATCTGTATATGTTCCCAGGGCCC